CAGGTGCCATACCAGTGATGATGGAAAATATTGTGCGCTGGACTTGATAGTACACTTACCTGCATGAGCTGTGACCACACAGCTAAAATAAATGGGCATGCCACAGCTAAAAAAAGTTCATTTCAAGATCGAGGTGATTCCGCCGAGAGTAATCAACCGACCTCGCAACGATCGTGTATTCTTACTTCGTTGGTGGTGAAGTAGAAATCATCTAGAGCTAGCAGACGACAAGCATACCAGCTCTTGTCCTGTGGAGAAAGTCAAAGCGTTTGAGATGAGGCGCGACCAACTAACTTGCAACCTTCCTTGTAATATTTCGGAACGATTTTTTTGCATCCATTGACATCATCGACGACGAGGCCTTCATCTCTGTGTGAAAACTCTCAGTCTAACTGCCCAGGAACGTTACTCTAGCCTTCAGACTAACATACTATGTACTAATATTTGTATGGTTTAGCTTCTGGAGTTGTCAGTAACAAGTGACAAGTCACTAGTCAAACTGCGACAATTTCGATGGCGCTGATAAAGTACATGCATTATCCCACGCACTTCGCATTCACACTCATTCTTCCAAGTTGCTTCACGTTATGATCTTGCGTTTGACAGCCTTATTTGAATATTGCGGCCAGCTGTATGTGGCCAGCTGTGTTTGATGGTACGGTAGGGTATGGGACATATACGGAATAGCGCCAGGCGTGACACAAACACACAAACAATCAAATACCAAACGAGAGAGCTTGGAAGCTCAGGGCCCTACGCTATGTTTTTTGCCTTGATGACCTAGACAAAAAAGCATAGGGATGTTATAAATTCTTATAAGTTTCTACTTTTTGTTTTTAGACATAACCTGGGATTCGAACCCGCACTATCGCCCTGCATGCACCCCCCGATACACTTCGCATACATACTAATTCTTCCAAGTTGCTTCACGTTATGATCTTGTATTTGAAAGCCCTATTTGAATATGCATTGTGACCAGCCGTCTTTGATTTAACGGTACGGTGCATGATAGGTACGGGACAGGTACGGGACAGGTACGGGACAGGTACGGGGCAGGTACGGGACAGGTACGGGACAGGTACGGGGCAGGTACGGGACAGGTACGGGACAGGTACGGGACAGGTACGGGACAGGTACGGGACAGGTACGGGACAGGTACGGGACAGTTATGGTCGAGGGTAATACAGACCGTCTACCGCCTTGATGACGGCAAAAAAAGAAAAGGGATGTTATAATTTTTTAAATTCTCCTATTTTTTTAAGGCATTACCCGGGATTCGAACTCGCACTATCGCCCTACATGCATTCCGCCATACACTTCGCATTCATACTCATTTGTCCAAGTTGCTTCAAGTTATGATCTTGCGTTTGAAAGCCCTATTTGAATATTGCGGCCAGCTGTATGTGGCCAGCTGTGTTTGATGGTACGGTATGGTACTGGACAGATACGGCATAGTGCCAGGCGTGACACAAACACACAAACAAGCAAACACCAAATTAAAGCTGTGTGGACCATGGTTAGCGCCAGACGTTACTGAAGTAACGTCTTCTGCATAGCTAAGGGAATTAAAGCTGTGTGGACCCTGGCTAGCACCAGACGTTACTAAAGTAACGTCTTCTGCATAGCTACTGGAATGAAAAATAATAGGCAATGTTCATGTAGCAGGTGGTTGGAAAATATTAAGCCCAGTCTCTAGTAGACGCCCAGTCTCCAATATAAGCCCAGGGTCCGGACTGGTTGAAAAAATATAAGTGCTGGGCTTATAATGGAGATTATACGGTACTATTGTAATAGTAAATAGTAGGTTCATGTGCCATTTACATTGGACATTGTCTTTGATTGTCAAGTGCGCGCACCGATTTTTGGCGGCGCACGGACGATTTTTATTTTTAAATTCTATGCATGCATATGCGCGCATTGGGCGGCCAGCCATGCATGATGTACAAACACGGCTGCACTGTACATTCCTGGCATGCTGTGTACTATTATACCATGGTACGGTGCGGAGGGCCTGTTTTCAGCCAATCAGGGCTCGTCTAGCCATGGGTATATTGGCCAGTATAAATCCCACGCGGGATTTGTGTATATATTATAACAAGGGACCGAGTGTATATCGAGAAATATAGACCAGCATAAAAACCGAGGCGAAGCCGAGGTTTTTATAACTGGTCGATATTTCTCGATATACACGAGGTCCCTTGTTATAATATATTTATACCTCTCCATGCGCAAGCTCAAGAGCAAAAAGGAGTGAATATAGCTTTCTTTCCCTAAAAAGGAGTGAATATAGCTTTAGAGAGAAAGAAAGCTATATACACTCCTTTTTAGAGAAAGAAAGCTCCTCAGTGGGTTTTTTTCTGATGGTTTTCCTCAGCGCACTGACCATTCACAACATACACCACATGCACGTGTACACTCCACACAGAACGGCATTACCGACGAGGAACAGTGCACAATGGAAAAGAAGAATGACCTGGAATTCGTCTACCGAGTATTCTACATATATTATACTGAAACTGAGAATAAAGAACGTCAAATAACCACGAAGTATCCCGAATTGGTCAGCAATGTACATTGTAATTCAAATAGTTGAAGATCATCAACAGACTGTCTCCTTCGTAACTAAGTTTATGATACAGAGTGTACTTCAAATCCACCTAAACCGATTGGAAAAACGCTAGGATGGATTGAAATGTGATACAGTGATACAAAACAGTGTATGCAAATGCATCTACTTGCAAGTAAGCAAACCTGATTATAAGATGCCGCATGTGAAAATCAGCACTGTACCAAAATCATGACAATAGTAACACTTACTCCCAAAGAGTCCAAACTGTACTGTAGTCTAACTAGTGACGGTAGTTTGATTCAACGACAACTCCAGCACCCCAGCAATTCAGTTGACTTCCGCATCGCTCGCAAGACAATATGCTACAATATGCACTGGAACTGAAAGGAAATCTGATGCCAAACATCCACTGAGGAATCTCCTTCTGATCTTGCTCGACCATTCTTTCAATTGACAACTGATAACCATCAGAAGATGTTCATGTACTGCATGATGTAGGAGATCTCCAAATAGGTTCGTTGTTCTGGAAATGCGTAGGGGTACCTGGCATAAGTAGGATATGACCCTCGTAGTCGGGTTATACCGTACCCTCATAAAAATCCCTCCTGCTATCGCAGTCGGGATTTATATTCAGCCGGTATAACCCTCTGACTCGGGTTATATCCTCTACGTACGCACTGCACTGTACAGTCCTGGCATGCTGTGTACTAGTACGCACTGCACTGTACATTTTTTTAATTTTATATTTTTTTATATTTCAACAGTTTATTGACATCATACAAATCCGAGAAGAAAGAAAAGGGCGCAACCCTGCCCTGCCAGTTATTTGAACTTAGAGGGGTCGCCATGGCAAACAATAAAAATATAACTGCACACTTTCGGGCTCTCCACCCTTCTCCGTAAAATTATAATACCGTAAAAAGAAAACTAGAGGGGAACGAAGAAGCAACAATTAGGAATAGGAAGTGGTTTAGGAACCACTTGCAGTCAGTTATACAGGGCAGCGGGCCTCGGCAACGGCCAAGGTAGCAGATGCATCCACCACATCGCTGACACGCAAGGGGCGTCGCCGAGCACCACGCAAACAAACCATGCTGGAGCGAACCAGAGCAAAGCCAAGTCGGCAGCGAATCCACGCCATTACTCGGTTGTACGGCTCCTTCGTCTTGTCGGACAGGAGCCCGGCAATCCGCTTATAGCAGGCTGTTGCCGACTTGCCCATGCCGCCTGTTGAGGAGAGAACGAGAGGTGAAAAAGTTGCATGTTCGATCTCTCGAACATGCTCCTCATAGCAGCGGCGTTTCTCCCGTTCGTGGCGCTGGTAGCAGGAAGGTACTGAGGTGGAGCGATTTGATCATAACGTGAAGCAACTTGGAAGAATGAGTATGAATGCGAAGTGCATGGGGGAATGCATGTAGGGTGATAGTGCGGGTTCGAATCCCAGGTTATGCCTTAAAAAAGGCATAACCGGTACGGGACAGATACGGGATAGCGCCAGGCGTGACACAAACACACAAACAAACACACAAATACCAAATTAAAGCTGTGTGGACCCTGGCTAGCGCCAGACGTTACTGAAGTAATGTCTTCTGCATAGCTACGGGAATAACGTGCACATTATGAGTTACGAAGTTGGTTGCTCCAACGAGGAGCACACGCTTCTTGCCGAACTTGACACTTGACTGACTCACGACTGTCATCCGGAGCACACGAGGAGCACGTCGCACCTTCCGCTCGGCAAACCTGAAAGAAAGCACCACTCCCTGCTCAATACACAGTGTTTCGGGGAATTCACCCCTCATCAGTTGAGCTTGAGTAGGCTGAGGAAGATTGTGCCTGAAAAGCACCACTTTTATACTGCTCTCCAGGCTCTCCTTTCTAAGTTCATTATGAGTTATGTGTACAATAAGATGGTTTATATTTGGAAGTTAAACGTAATTGGTCGCGTCAAAATGGGGCATGCAAGAGATGAGACGAGCTGTTGTGAGTCTGGTTACACAGTGTCACATACTGGGGGTGCTTATATGAGCACGTGGCGTATAACGCTACGCTGTTTTGGGTGTAAATCTTTTTTATGTGTGCATGTGGGCACCACACTGTATGTGTGTGTGTATGTGTATGTGTATGTGTATGTGTATATGCATTTATGTGTATGTGTGCATATGCATTTGTGTGTGTGTGTGTTTGCACAGGTGCGTTTATGTGTGTATGTGTGTATGTGTGTGTATGTGTGTGTGTGTGTGTATGTGTGTGTGTGTGTGTGTGTGTATGTGTGTGCGTATGTATGTGTGTGTATGTGTGTGTGTATGTGTGTGTATGTATGTGTGTGTGTGTATGTGTGTGTGCGTGTGTGTGTGTGTTTGCACATGTGGCTGTGGGCATGTGTGTTACCGTTTGTACATACAATTTCTGTTGTCTGGATCGCTTCAAGGTTTTTCCACCATCCTCGTTGCCTCCTCTCTTTCTTCAAGGATTCTATCATGGCCGTCTCTGACCATCCTGCAGGTAGGTTCATCTGGGTCCGAGGGTCTATATGAATCTGATGATCTCTGCAGGTTGTAATTGAATTTATTGCCAGCCTCACACAGTGCATAAGGCAATGCACGGAATCCTCATTTTCAGATCGCAAAACACTGAAATCAGCGGACATGAACTTTACTCGGGTTATGCTCACAGTTTTACTGATCTTTTTGAAAACTTTTCATTGGTCGAAAATGAAAGAAATTGTCTCCAACACTACTTCATCATCATCATCATCATCATCATCATCATCATCATCATCATCATCATCATCATCATCATGTGACCAAGCCGCTTTTACGGGCAACAATATTATGAATATGAAACGCAAGGTATTGTAAGAGCAATTTTCTGATAATAACTTTAAAACACGAAATAATTTATAGAAATGCATTATCACACCGTAGCCACTTTTATGGGCAAATTCCAATACAAGGCAATAGGAAAACGAGGATGAAGTTAACCTTTTAACCCAAAGAAAAGACAAAAGATGTCAACAATAGAACTACAAATGGCCCAATATCTGAGAAAATCGACCTTCGGGGCTGTTTTGGTGAAATTGATTTTTTTATTGCAAATTGATGTCTTGCCTTGGTAGAGTATTGTGACTTCGTTTCACGGCCATCAGACCAATATTGACCATGTAGAAGTGCATTTTACAGTCAGGAGTCATGTTAATGAATTGTTCTTTTTTTTACAATTTTGAAAGATCAGTGTGTTTGGAGCCACCAAAAATTGTTTCTATGTGATATCACTAGCCAACTAATATAGTAAAGTGTTTTGACTGTTCAGGTACTTCATTTCCAGCATTCCGTGACTTTATTGAGGTTGTGTAGTTGCAACAGCAGCAATAGCAGCATTAGAAGGAGAGGTGATTTATCTGTTCTCCTGGTGATGGACATGCTTGACAGGATAGTCTGCAACAGATTTTGATGGAACACCATGATACATGTGACAGCATTCACATACTTATTGTGAAGGAGTCAAACAGAGCAAATGCGTCCAGATTCGCCTTGTTGCACTTTGTGGAGACTGACCATTTCCAAACATCAGTAAACCAGCCTGACAAGCGTTTCACACCACCAACTCAAAAGTAACAGAATGTTACTCGAGATTGCCCAGCCTCATGTGCTCCGTGATGGTCTGATTCGCCATTATTAGCTCGAGTATCGAGCTTGCCATCCCAAACATTTTAGGATCATCGTCGCAAAGAAAACTCGCATCATTTCGTGCTGTTTTAGCAGGTCTGGCGTGACACTCAGGAAACAGTTCTGCCACTCGCGCAAGGGCGCCCAGCGACCTTGCAAGCGGCGTACCCTCAGGAATCCACCTGGTTGTCCTTGCCTGGAGCTGTAGCAGCTATCGCTGAGGCAGACTGTGGTTAGCCTTGATCATACTCATCCAGGCCAAGTCCTCATCATCGTCGCCCCCGACAGGTAAGTACCGCGTGTCACTTGCGATCGATTCGCCTGACATGCGCTCTCAGAACTAGAAGCGCTGTTGCCGCTTGACAGGATATCCACAAAGAACGATGCATCACCGTCCATGGGATCGCGGCTGCTGTGCTCCGTGAGCCCAATAACCAACTGACACAAGAATCGCCTTCAATTTTGTTCCGCCATTGTCGTCTCTGCACTTTGCTTTGACGGAATCGATTTTTTTGCGAACAAATTTGTTTTTAGTGTTTTCTCAAAAAAAACGCGTAGCCCCGAAGGTCGAAAGTCTCAGATATCGGGCCAAATATAAAAAACAAACATCAGGTCATAAAAACTACTTCAAAACATCAACCAAATGACAGCAAAGCGTGGAGAATGAGATTGACTTACAAAACAAAAGTAGTCCTACTATGCTTACAAAACAGAATCTACCTACACCACTAAGGAAGAAACATTAAATGATTGCAGTCTCACAAACACCGGCCTCTATCTAACGACCCATCAAACAATAACTCCTGAAATTCTTGACTGACTTTTTCTGGTAGGAGCTACGGCAGCTGCGAAAACAGGTCACTGCCCAACGGAGTAAAGTGAACGAGAGCAGGCACCGCAATCGACCCATAACCAGCGATCATCATCATCATCATCATCATCATCATCATCATCATCATCATCATCATCATCATCATCATCAGTCAGTCGGAACCAATGTTGCAGATGTGTGCCAGGGATGGTTTGCAGATGACTCGGCAGCTGCCGGAGGGCTCTCCCCATTGCGAAAGTGGTACAACCTCCTTAAGGAGGAGGGCCAAAAATACGGCTACAACATCAACGAAACAAAAACGCAACTACTCGTCAAGCCTGGCTTTGAGTCCTTGGCTGCCGAGACTTTTGGTGACACAACTATCCACGTCAAGTCTCGTGGCGTACAGTATCTGGGCGCTGCTATCGGGACTGAGGCATTCCTCGGAGAATTCAAAGAGACAAAAGTAGAAGAGTGGGTGAAACATACAGAGATTTTAGCAAATTATGCCGCATCAGAGCCGCATGCAGCATACTCTGCGTTGACCCATGGCTTAGTCAACAGATGGAACTATGTGTTTCGAACTATGGCTGTTTCTGCGGAGGACTTGGCGCCGTTGGAGCGGGAGCTTCACTCCTCACTTCTACCGGAGCTCGTGGGACAACCGAGCGTGCCTCTGAAAGACATTGATATTCTAAAGCTCCCGACACGGGATGGTGGGATGGCCCTTCCGGACCTCACGACTCGACCACGGTTTGAGCACCAGGGCTCCAAGCAAGTGTCCGGACCTATGGTGAAGGAGGTTCTGGGCGATTTCGCTAAGGATAGCGATCCAATTTCTCTCGCTGGAGATGTGCCGGCTTCTGCAGATACTGCTGACCGTGGTGGAGCGTCTCCCACTCCCACGAAGACGGCAACGGAGGTGCAGCCGCGGGAGGTCGCTGGCAACTCAAACCCTGGACCGGATGTGGCTGCTGATGTTGCTGGTGCTGGTACCCCCTTTCAGAGGATGATCGATGAAATGCGTCACAAAAAGCGTGTCGTCCACACCGAAAACCGGGAGCGCGCAAAGGCAGCCAGGAACAAAATAGTGGACACGAGCGATGAGATGACGAAGCGACGAATAGAAGAACACACGGAGAAAGGATCATCCTCATGGATGAGCGTGCTGCCCCTGGCGGAGCATGGCTTTCGTCTCACCAAGCGTGACTTCCGGGATGCTCTGGCATTGAGATATGCATGGCCGCTAGCCAATACACCAGCAACCTGTGTGTGTGGTGAGCTGTTCTCAGTTGAGCATCAGCTATGTTGCGCCAGGGGCGGCTTCCCGACACTTCGTCATAACGAGATACGTGACCTGCTGGCGAGGGAATTGACTGAAGTCTGCACTGCCGTTTCGACAGAACCAGCGCTGCAACCTCTTTCTGGTGAGAGGTTTCCTCTTCGGTCAACGAACCGCCGAGAGGATGCGCGCCTGGACATAGCCGCTCGAGGGTTTTGGACCCGTGGGGAGGAAGCTTTTTTTGATGTAAGGGTATTTTGCCCAGATGCTCCTTCCTACGGGTCCAGAACCCTTCCTGCATTGTACCAGCAGCACGAGCGGCGTAAGTGGAACGAATATGGGCCAAGAGTCACAAATGTAGAAAGAGCCGCTTTCACACCTCTCGTGTTCTCTGTGCATGGTGGTTGTGGGAGGCTGTGCAATGTGTTCCTCAAGAGACTGTGCCAGATGCAGGCCGAGTCATCGGGATCTCACTATTCCCAGGTCATTGGTTTACTCCGCTGTCGGCTGTCTTTTGCTTTGCTGCGTGCTGCTGTGTTGTGCATACGTGGGGCTCGGTCACGGTACCACCATCCGGCGAGATGTTTTCATGATGTCTCGATTGCCGTGGCCGAGTCAGGTCTAGTTTGTTAAGTATCGTGCTGTGTCCTGACTGTGCATGCGGGATTGGTATGGCGCTTACCCTTTTGTTGCTGTTTTGTTGCTTTCATGCCTTTAAGCATGTAATTGTGTTCAATTGTTGTATTTCATGGAAAAACGATCTTTGCGTTGGATTCATTTAAACTATTATTTGTGTAGGGTTCCACTCCTTCATCTTGGGAAATTGTGTTTTGTTTGCCCAAAGAAGTGGCTTCATCATCATCAAAAAAAAAAAAAAATCATCATCATCATCATCATCATCATCATCCTACGCGTCCAGAAGCCTGGACGCGCTCTTCCGGCAACATGAGGGCGCTAAGAGACTGCAATATCAGGAGAGAGTAGTCAATGTTGAGCGTGGTGCCTTTGCACCTCTTGTGTTTTCCGTGAATGGGGCTGCTGCGCCGGCATCCACGGCCTTCCTCAGGCGCCTTTGCCTCCTTACATCTCAATCTTCGGGAGGTAGCTATTCGTCGTTGATGAGTTATTATCGTTGTCGGGTGTCTTTCGCGCTGCTACGTTCCGCTGTGTTGTGTGTCAGGGGTGCTCGGTCGGCCCGTCATCGTCCAGTTCACATGCTTCGTGAGTTGGCGATGGTGGAGGGTCGGGTTCCCCTGCAGTGATTGGTGCTGCGCCGAGCTAGTTTGGTGTGAAAGTGTAACTAATGTTATTATTCTTATATATACATCAACTAGTGCTAAATAATTGAGAGGCTTTGAATCGTTTTTATCAAAATCAAAATATTTGCAATAGGGGTATGTGAAGTGTTTCGTAGACTGTGCTCCAAGGCGGCATTGTTTCTGATGAAACCCGACATTATGCAAGCCTGCGGACCAGTTCAGGCCTGCACGGGCATCCCGGCTGGGGTGGAGGCTATGGTGCACTCAATGACGGCTGCCTTTGCTTCGGAAAAGGCTGAGGCAGTGTTGCTAGTCGATGCTCGCAATGCCTTCAATAGCTTGAATCGCCGCGCTGCATTGCACAATATTGCTCGAGTATGCCCCCCGCTAGCACAAATAACATTGAATACTTACCAAGACCCTGCATCCCTCTTTGTGCGTGGTGGCCAGTCTTTATTGTCACAGGAGGGCACAACCCAGGGTGA